ATGCCCATATACACCATGTATCATACCTATGTGGATCATTTCAGTCTTCTCTAGTCTACTCACATGCACCATACTTATGTGGATCCTTTCAACCTCTTCTAGTCCACTCATAAACATATAAATATATACATCCATAAGACATAAATCTTCAGTAGTTTCATAAGGTGTTTATCTCATATAACCCTATAACTTTCTTACATTTTTTCTTATACGTAATCTTATAGAAACTTTACCTATTTATAAGCATACTAACTTACCTATTAAGAATCTTTTTCTTCTTAGAATTTTTTTTGCAAGTCAAACTTGCCTATTAAGAATCTTTTTTCTCTTAGGATTCTTCTTCTATAAGTCTTCTTATCCATCAAGCAATATCTAACCAATTCTAAATAAATATCTTATGGGATTTGAGTCACTATTCCTAACAATCTCCATCTTGACTCAAATTTCATCAAATCATCTGTCTTTATCCTAAACATTCTTGACTTCACCTATAATGAAAGTTTCACAATCATCTTTTCTTATGTGTCTTTATACTTCACACAAATTAATCTTCAAAATATAAACTCAAACTTTTTTTCTTGAGTTGAACTCTTCTATACTTGCCTTTTTTCATAGCTCGTACCATACTCTGATACCACTTGTTGAGAATCATTATAGCTCTGATACCACTTGTTAGGAATCATCATAACTTTGATACAACTTATTAGGCAAAAACCTACAATCTAATCACACCAGCGGAAGCAAAACTAAACAATTAATCAATCACATAAGAGATAATAATTTATCGTAGTTTAGCTCAACCGACCTACGTTTACAAATGAGAAAAAAGATTTATTAGTTGTACAGAATTACAAACAAACATCAAATTAAGAACTCAACAATCAATACCTATAAACCTTCTAAATCTTTTCTAGTCCTATGAAGTATCCTCAACCCAAATAAACACATATCTATATGTATTCTTTCAACATAAATAAATACATACCGATATACACTCATATATCATACTTAGATAAACTATCTCAGTCTTTTTCGATCCACTCGCATGCATCATACATTTATAGACCCTCTTAGTCTTCTCTATTTCACTCACAAACATACAAACATACACACCCATAAGACATAAATCTCCAATAGTCTTATAGGATGTCTATCCCATAAAACTCTATAACTCTCTTACATTTTTTTTTCTCATACCTAACCCTATAAAGACTTCACTTATTTATAAACATACTAATTTGCCTATTAAGAATCCATTTTCTCTTAGAATTCTTCATTTGAAAGTCAAATTTATCTATTAAGAATCATTTTTCTCTTAAAATTCTTCTTCCGTGAGTCTTATTATTTATCAAGCAATATCTAACAAATCCAATATAAATTTTTTATGGGATTTGAGTCACTATTTTCAATAAAAAAATATTTAATTAATCTAAGAATCATTTTATAAAAACTTTTAACGAAGTTTACATTATAAAAACCAAAAGATTACAAAGCTCAAGGTGGCCAGGTTTTATGTCCTAGGTAATGTATCTTTGACATTGATCTATTAGAAGCCCCAACAAAGAGAAAATCAAAATAATAAAGTAGAAATAAGATGCCCATAAAATTAAAATTTCCTTCTTATAGAAATATTAAAGGCCAAATATTTTGGCTGCTAGCTTTTAAATCTAACAATTTAAAAACAATACGATGATATGATATTAAAACGATAAAAAATATATATATGAAAGTGATATAATTTAAAATTTTAGCAAGAAGTACCATCTATGAGTTTGGTAAAAATAAAAAATTATATTTTTTATTTGATATATTGATAGAATTGTGATATCATAATTTTTATATTTTATATATATTTGACAAAAAATAAATAATATAAATTAACAAATTGTTAGAATTACTTCAAGCTTAACACTATCAAGGGATTTGGAAGTTCTGAATTTTTATTTTTCATATATTTTTCCAACTCTAACATTGCTGCCATGGTTAACATACATACTTTAATAGTGAAAAAACATATCCTTAAATAATGACAAGATTGTTGAAATTGAGTGGCTGTTTGCAGAAGATGCCTAAAGGGTCAAAATTTACGAAGCGCGGACATTTTTTAGCCTCTCGTGTAATTATCTCGTATTCATGTTTGATATTTTGATACTTATGATATATTGAAATATGTGTTGAATTTGATTGAATAAGTAAAAAAAGAAAAAAGAAAAAGATAATTTTCATTCGTATAATGACATTATATATTCTTTTATTGTTATGACTATCATAAGTTTTATTTTATAAGGATAAATATTTTTTAAAAATTAGCTCAACATTTATCATATATTTTTAATTAATAATTATAATACATAAAAAATCTTTTTTATTATCGTGTCTTATCATATTTTTGTTTTTATTTTTTAAAAGTTAATGTGTTATTGTGTCTATATCATATTGCATTCTTATTTCATATTATGTATCTACATTTTCAATTTTTAAAATTTATTGTGTTAACTTATCTGTATCGTATTATACTCATGTTACGTGTTTGCGTCTGTACTTCATAGGCCAAAATCAAAGCAAGTGTTGGCTTCAATGATTTGCTTTTTTGGCGTGTATGAACACATTTTTAAGTTTCAGAATGTAAGATTTGGACCACATTTTACACATTTTGAAGTTTTAGAAGGTAAGAATTGGACCATAAATATGGATGAAAATAGTGCAAACATGCATATAGAAGCAACCGAAAAAAACAAAGCTTGTGAGGATTTTATTTGAAATCTACATATATTTCGAGCATTTGGCCTAAAGCAACTGTACCTAGTTCCATATGCGCATGATTACAGGCCAAAGATCACTAGCATACAACTGATGTGAGGATTTTATTCAGCTAGCCAAAAATCATTCACAAAGACAACAGACGAAACAATTATCATCACGTACATCCACATTTACATCAACACCAGTAATTTCTTTGGTGGCATCCAAAACCTCAACTACATCACTAGCGGCTTGAACGGCATCTGCAGCTGTCTGTTGGCGCTTCTCTAGCTTGCTTTCCTCCTGGCCTTTCTTCCCTGCATTTGCAATTGCAACCCAACACAAAAATTGAAGAAGTAATACGAGGATAATGAGGATAACAATGACTTCATTCATCTTCAATTTTTGAAGTTGATGGCTACGCCAAGATTAAATGGAAGTAGACGAATCATTTATATTGTCATTAGTTTTTAGAAGCCTTGGGATTGTAGGAAAGATCAAAGGTTTTTTTTTTTCTTATGAACTGGATATAACTGTTCTGATTAAATATTATCTGGGTTGATTTTTTTTTTCTTATTATCGTTGTCCATAGCCTCTTGTTGGGTTCTTGAACTATTTAAAATTATTTACTATTTAATTAACTATTTAATTATCAATTTTGCAAGATCCAGAATTACAGAAGGAAACAGTATATATGTATATATATATATGTATATATATTGGGGGTACAAAAACAGTATATACTCATAAAAATCATAAAATTGAAAGAACAAAGACAAAGAAGACAGAAATAATACAAAAAAAAAAAGGACATACTGGAAGAAAGGATAAGAGGAAAGACACAATCAACAATTAACAAATTGCATCTGCCAGTTTAGAGTTTTAGGTGATTCCTATATTGCAAACCAGAAAAAGTCATCAGGAATCTAATTATACTCAAAGAAGCAAACCTAGGAAAAGAAAATTGAGTTTTCCTAGCGCTACTGCTTCAAGAAAATAAAATTCTAAAACATAAACTGAAGTATTGGAGACTCGACAGATCCCTTCCTGTTGTCGAAGTGCTCTTTAAAGTGTGACTTAGGTAGTCTAGGCTGATGGTAATTGCAAGGAAATTTATTGCATTTAATCACACCATGTATAAAGTCACGGAGCTATAACAGAAACCTACAGCATGTGCTCAACATCAATTTATGTTATAAACCGAAATTTAACTAAACTCAAGTCTTTCAAATGAAACAATTATAGGTATTTCTTAACTAAAATGTCTAGTGCATAAGAAACAGACAAGGACAGCATAAGACAATATGCATATGGTGTGTATAGGTAAATGAGACTATTTCTGCATATGTCCGAACCATTTTAGGAACACCAAAATTAAAGTGGAATATCTGATAACAACAATACGAGCCTTCCAACAACTTGAATGAATGGGAACTTCTTTTTGCTGATATAATGACCTGGAACTAGCTGAACAATTGACTGATCAGTTGATTGCATTTACCATTTGTATGTGATATATCATCTCTTATGTTAATTGATTCCTTGAATAGGCTACTTCCGCTTTTAATAATTGACTGAGTATTGAGACAGATACATGTAGGATCGAGAAAAACGAAACTCAAGTCACATAGAAAGGACAAACACGACATGACTAACCAAAACAGCAAAGGGTTTTAGCCAAATCTGACTTTCTTTATTGAAGTGCCTAATCTATCCCTAACTTTCTATCCTACTACATATTTTATTGAAGAAGACATTATGCACTTAAGTTTTTCTTAAATCGTAATTTTTAAATATCAATTCCAATAACATATCAACTGATTTAACAATAATCAACACCAAATCTGACACATCAAATCTGACTTACTACTTACGTAAAATCTATAATCCGTATCAAAATAAGGCAAACTCGTCAGTTGTTTTGTAATGTAGATGGAATAAGAAAGGAAAAGATCCGAATAAGATTAGTCTTCAACAAGTAGACAAAAGAAACAGAGAACTGTAAATCAGACAACAGTTCTAGAAAATATAATTTCTATTAAGTTGAAAATGAAACTGCAAAAGAATGATATATTTTTTTGTAAATGAATAATTTTATTACAAAATGAAGAACTACAGGTACAAATCTCCCTCAATCAAACTACTTCTGTTTCCATATAACTGTAATTTCCCAGATATATAAAACTTTTAAGGAAATTGCTCCCATTGTCCCCATTGTAAATACGCTTTTGCCTTCCTCTTCCTTTTCTTGTTCTGTCTCACCCCAAATCTGGCCTCTTCTGTTGTATTTCTTTCGCTGCAAGCAGGTGCTTCCTTTTCATGTTGGCAGCTTCAGTTCCAGCACTGTTAGAAGTTGAATCTCCAGATTGATTCAGAATTCGATTGATAGTATCTCTAAGAGGCATATTAGCCAGAACATCATCAGACACTATTTTCCATGGGCAAACACAAACAGACTTGGAAACAATGCGATCTCTTATACATTTATCATACAAACTAGCGAAACAGCACTTTGCCAAAACAGCATCTTTCATGACTTTTTTGCACAATGGGTAGTGTAATTCGGGTGGTAAATTATCACCAACAGAACTACTCAAAGTTGAAGCAGAAGCATAAGAAATCACAGAACCACTGGAAGTTGAAACAGATTTCTTCGATATCCCAGTTGTAGGCTTAACCCTTTTAAAATCAAAGTTGGGATCACCATTTGTAGGGCAATACTGAATATAATGTCCAGTCACCTTACAATGACGGTAAACATAACCTTGTGGTGGAATTTGGCGCTTTCCAAACCCTTTAACAGGTAAAAACTTAAACACAACATCAATTTTGTCTTCCTTACAACAGCTATTGCTTGGATTCACGGTTGACTTTGTGGGAACGGAATCAAAATCAAGTCCAAAATCATAGAAATCAAAACCTTCTTCTTCTGGAGAATGTCTCACAACAGACGATGGGATGTTTTCAATCTTGGGTTTTTCTTTTTCTCCGATAATAACTGGTTTTTCAATCTTGGGAACACGACAAATCAAAACAGAAGAGTTCGCTGGGATTAAGGAGCAGCCATCAGCAAATTGTTCATAGGTTCGGGCATCGCTGATCAACAAATCAAAATCCTTACCATTGCCGTAACGCTTGGAAGAAAAGATTTGGGCTTTTAAAGCAGAAACTGATATGAACGGACCATCAATGGAAGTCTTAAACTTGTAATACAAAACAGCCATTAATCAATTCTTAGAACAGAGGGTTACAGAGGTTTGCAGAGAAGTTTCCAAGTGCTTAATTTGGCTTACAAACTAAACTGTACACGTGACTTTCTTTCTTTCCTTTTTATTTAAAAAAAAAAACTGTAATCCAACTTTGATTAGAATTTGGTTTACGAATATTATAATTATGAAAAAAAAATTTCATATACCATTAATTGAATTTAAAACTTCAATAATTAAGTTAAAATATTGACCCATACTTCTAAAATATTTTTTAAAATATCAATAAATTAATACTCCTTTCATCCAAATTTTTTATTTATTTTTGTTTTTTAGATGTGTCACAATTATATATATTTTTTAACATTTAAAACTTTTTTATATTTTAAAATTATTTTTTCAAATTTTTTTATTTTTAACATAAAAAATCATGAAATTTTAATTTTATAAAAAATTAAATTTTAATATTAAATACATTAAAATCAAAAAATCTTTTTAAAATTTTATGAAAGTCAATAATACTCAAAACAGAGAGAATAAAATAAAAAATTTATAGGGTATTGATGTTAATGCGATAAAATTTAAAAATATTTATATTTAATACATTATTTTATATGTTGTCACTTAATTAAGTGATATTATTTTATTAGTAAGATAAATCAATTGATATAAACTTATTAATAAATTAATTTTTAAAAATATTAATTTTTTATATTTTAAAATTTAATATTTATTCATTAATAAATTAATATTATTTAATTTATTAATTATATAAAAAAACTAAATATTAAAATAATACATCAAATATAAATTCAATTTAAAAACTGTAAATCAATTATTGCCACATCATGGCCTAGTGTTCAATTGTTGCGTGGGAGGCAGCTGGCTTCTGGACACTTCCACGTTATCATCCAGACCTATAAATGTGTGGACGAGAAACATGGATACTTCAGAATAATTCTAAACAACAACGATAAGTAACCCCATTACCCTCAAACTCGCTTAAACTCTCCAATAGGAAACTTCACTGATGGCTGCTTTCAACACATTCAAACTATCACTTCTCTTGAGTCTGCTCTCAAACATTGGTCTGTTGCCAGAAACAAGCAAGAACAATGTTGGGCTATTTCCACCAACATGTAACCGGATAGAGTGCCCAACTTTTGATGTGATTCAAGCTGGCAATGACTATGAGATTCGTAGGTACAATTCCACCGTGTGGATGTCAACTTCTTCTATTCAGGGTATTTCTCTTGTTGAGGCTACCAGGACAGGCTTTCTTCAGTAAGTTTACTGTCTCTCAGTTTATTAACTTCTTTGGATTGTTTATTTCTATGGTTGAATTTCCCATCCTTCAAGAAATTTTTAATCTATCTTTTTTAATCTAATCATATCATATCATATCATATTCTCTTCATAATCAGAATCAGATGCATTAGACTCTCCCTTGATTTGTTTTATACTGATTGCAACAAAACCAATCTGTTAGATTGCTGGAGACTAGTAATTTGAACCTTTTGTTACCTTAGATGTGATTATTATACTTGAAAGGCGTAGCAGATGGGAAAATAGAGCCGCCCTGCTTTCATAGCAGAAAGTCTGAAATTTTCCTAGAAAACTTACATTTTCTATGCCCATCGGTGTTTAAATTTAGCTTTGTCTCCAACCTAATCTAGTTTTGCAGATATAAGCATCTATTGTCAAATGTTCTTTTTCTTGCTTCCAAGATATTCATGGTTTCTTAAAAACTTGCTACTATATAAAATTAATGGAAGTGCTAAAAACATGGTTCCTACTTCCTCTTATAGGCTATTTGACTACATTCAAGGAAACAACAAATACGAGCAACAGATAGAAATGACAGCTCCGGTGATCACAGAAGTTTTACCAAGCGATGGACCCTTCTGCGAGTCATCATTTACCGTCAGCTTTTATGTCCCAAAGGTGAACCAGGCAAATCCGCCAGCGGCAGAAGGCCTCCATGTCCAAAGATGGAAATCCACATATGTAGCAATAAGGCAATTCAGTGGATTTGTTACGGACTATAATGTCGGAGAGGAAGCGGCTGCCTTGGAAGCCAGTCTTGAAGGCACTGCTTGGTCTGCTGCAATCGAGAAGACTCGGAAAGCTGATGCAAGTTCAGTTTATACAGTTGCACAGTATAACTCTCCATTTGAATTCAGTGACAGGGTGAATGAGATTTGGATTTTGTTTGATATGGAAGATGAGTTCTTGCCCGCATAAGTTTAAAGTACGAGGAAAATAACTGAGCTATCCTAGAACTACAAGTTAACAATCTTACAGACAACTCCTGAGAATGCTTTGTTCTTATGTTCTGAATCTCTGAACTTTGTCTGAGATGAGAAACCGAGGATCAAAGATTCTGTATGTAACATGTAGCATTGGAAAATAAATAGTTTTCGATAATTTAATCTTTCTAGTGGTTTTCCTTTGACAACTCTTAACTGAAAATTCATAGCACATCATTAAATGTACAGAAAGTAAGTAAATATGATAGAATGAAAAAGTTGCTAGATTTACAATTTTTATCTAGTTTGCTAATAATTATGAAGGCAAATTCTACCATAAGAAGAAAGAAAAGTATATCTGAAGTTGCTGGCCAAACAATATACCAGTCACTCTGAGGCTTGTTCTATACAATCTTCAAAAAGTATTTTCATTAAATAAGAAAATATTCCTTTCCTTGGGTATTTTAATATCATCCACATGCCTCAATCAACAAAGCACTGAAAACAAAAATTGAGGCGACATTTCTACCTAAGTCACTATTTAATCGGTGGGAATTTCCTTGAACCAGCGTCCACAATCAGCAGTTCTATCAAGAGCATTTTTTGGGTAACTCCCATGTTTTACAAACATGCCATAGTCACTATCTAAAGAAACGTCGGTCAAAGAATCACATAACTGTGTCAAGTTCTCTTGAACTCTATTCACAGGTGGAGGTGATGAGTAGGAATCTAAAACATAAACCTTCTCCTCTAACACATACCTAGTATGGGATCTACTGGTTGAAAACATTCTACAAGAAACCGTGTTGCTAGAGGAGGATTCCGGAGTATACAAGTTATTGAAGATTGAGAATGGATCTCCATTGCTTGCATCAACATAGTCAACGGTACTGAAAGAGTCTCTAGTACTCTCTGTTGTAAAAGACGCCTCATCTGAGCTTGTGAAAAGGGACCAATCGCTTGATGTAGCATCAGAGAACTCCATACCGGTAGGCTCAGCATACATCTCCACCCCAGGATGAACATTACTATTTGCACTCTGCCTAAGAATACCATTAGAGTTGTGGTTAATACAGCCTGTAGCAATTTCTGGCCAGAAATCTGGGAAAAGCTGGGGGCCAACAGAATGGCTACTGGATTTACTTTGTGCCAGTTGTGAAGGCTTCTCTGTTTTTGTTGACACGTGCCTAGAGGGAACTTGCTTCTGTATGATCTTTTTGGCGAATGCTCTTTGAGGGCGAGGGCACGACCTTGGAAAGAATTACATACTTTCAGAGCTAGAAGATAGCATCGATATGGATGCCAAAAGTAACATTCATACAACAAAGACACATCCACAAATATAGCAAGAAAACTGACTAGTTTTTCAACATTTAAACTGCAGCATGATGTATGTTAAATAAACAACATGGAACACCATAAACACAATATCACATGACGAATCTTAGTATTTTCTTTCATTGGAGAAAGAAGATTGATTTTAATTAAGATGCAGGAGATTGCTAAGTAACATTATTGCTAGGTAATTTCAACAAAAAAAAAAAAACTGATTACATGGGATAGAAAACCAAAAAAGGGAAAAGGGAATTACTGGAAGGAAGAAAACAAGAGAAGATGGTATTTCTAGAGTAATCTAGCAATAATAGGTGTCTACCTCATGTAAAATAAGATGTAAGCCCCCTCAGACATCACTTGGCTCATCGAGACTGGATGTACCTGTGAGTGAAAGGGGAAACCAAAACCTTGTTCAATCCCATGGCAACAAAAGACAATCTAAACAAAACAGATAGAATTAGTACAAATTTAAACATGCAAAAAATCATGTTAATTCTTTACATCAGCTATTGGAGCCCATGAAACATACAAGCATGAATGATGAGATTCCTTCCAATAACACTAATAGCAAGAGAAAAGAAAACGAGAAAATAAAAATAACTTGACCAATAACATCATCATGTAAATAGATGTTCACAGAATTATGGCTTTTACCTTTTCTAAAAAAAGAGAAGAACAATACAAAACGGTCGTTAAATATTTTCACTGAGCAGCTGTATTTCTAAGAAATATTAAACTTGCCATCTTTTGAATAAGTAAAACCATTATGCTCATGTAAATAATCAATCACCTTGTGCCAAACCTAAGGAGATAACTTTACCTCAGTATCATCTATCCTGAACCACTTGCCTCGCAAATCTTTTACATATGACACATAATGTCCAGAGAAAGATGCATTCAATGTATCCAAATGCACCACAACAGCATAAAGCATGTAAAGTGGAGGGATGTCACCCGTTCCAGTCATAAAAGGAATCATATCCAGCATCTCAGGGAAAGTGATACACTTGTTTATTTTCCCATATTCTCCCTCCTGATTAAGCAACAGCCATGTCAAAAAATAATCAAGTCAAATAATAAACAAATTAAAAATTGATATTAGGCAATACTTCAACTACAGAAACACAGACAGAAATGTAGGATGGATAGGTAAATATAGAACCTATCATCCCCACATTGCCTATAAGAAAAACACCTATTGAGAAGCTAACCAAATTTAGGTTTGGTGTGTTTACAACAGGACATATATATAATGTCAACAATCAAACTTGAGTCTGACTTGTCTGCTATTTTGTTAAGTGTGTGTGTGTCTATATATATATAAGTTGCTTAAGTTGAGTAAGTTGCTAATATAATTATGAAGCAGCTTATTAACCACCAAAACAAACTCAAACCTAATTGTCTATAGACCAAAAGAGCAAGCTCTAAGCTATGTTGTAGCACTTATGACATGACATTAGCTGAGGGCAATACAATGTAGAGCAGAGTGATACCTGAAACCTCTTTAAGACAATTGTCAGGATGTTAGGAGCCTCATGTATGCACAACTGCTTCCTAGCCCGAACATAACCAGCACACCTTTTGATAAAAAATATTTCCGGAGACAGTAAATTAAACAAATTTATAACAAGTCATCTAATAATTCTATTAAGGGATAATATGACAACAAGCTAGAACATGGTTGCACACCTTCCACATCTGTACATGTTTTCTCCATCCAAATCTTCAGGTGTTGTAAACTGAGTTAGTGCATCTTCCAATGACTCAACCCAACCAAATATCTCTAATGTAAGATCCATAATGTTTTCATATCTTTCTGACTCGTGAGAACATCTTAGACACTTAACCTGATTACATGCAGATTCATTATATATAGGCAACAAAAAAGTTTAAAAGAAATACGAATCAAAGAAAAGAAAAGAAAAATGAAGCACCACAACAATAGCTCATGAGATAGCTTAAGATAAAAGTTAAACAAACTATAAACACCTTTGACCTAAGGCGTCCTCCAAAAGTATGTTGTATAAATGTTGTCTCTTGCAACCTGGGGTCAACCTTGTGTTCGCCACCTAATCTCTCTAAGCATATTGATTGCATTGAAGCAACCAGGTGTCTGAAACAAACAATTGAATTTTTAGAGAGGCAAGGGCATGAAATTTCCATTCTTACAGTACAAGCATCAAATTTTAAAGCAAAACTGACAAATCTAGACACATAAATGAGGGAAAAAGAAGGGTGTGGGGGGATATTGGCTAGTGAATCCTGTACACCTCAAGAACTCATGTGCGTCTTCCTGACTTCCATCACCCATCTGGCAATTAATACTTCGGATGTGTGAAAGGATCCGACTAGATGACAAGGGGCCTCCACTCTCTCTTAACAACATAACATGATGTTCAAGCTCACACATGAGACACCAATCTTTCCCATAACCTATAAAGAAATACAAAGTAAGCTATGTATATGATTGAACAGAGATATTATTATTATGAACAGGTAACAAACAAGTGAACAACAAAAAGAAAGTACAAGCTCTTGAATGTGATCTATGCAGCAAATAGATGCTGAGAGGCTTCGTGCAGGTTAAACACTGGAGAACAGCATTGGCATAGCAACTGCAAAATTAAAACAATAATCAGTGCATTAAACATGAGCTCCTAGGACTTTCTTTTATATACAATGAAGAAGTTATCTTTCTTTGGAAAATCCAAAAAGGCTTCCCCAGATCACAAGTTGAAATATTGAATCTTAAGTTTAAGTAATAAACTCCATTTAGATGATTGGTCTGATGTATAATACACAGCTTTTTAATTAACAATCATGCTGAAGTATAGGACAATTAAACTAGCTTCTGTGGGTAAAATCAAGAAAATAAGATGCAATAGGGTATTAAGGTTACTATTTGGTTCGTTTTATACTTAATATGCCATTCAAGAAGTCAATCTTCAGTAATTTTTTTTTAATTTAGTTTATAGGAACATATGCTACTACAGAATTTTCCTACCATGAAGCCCATATTCCAAGTTATAGAGCAAATATAGCTGAAGGTAAGACCATAAAAGTAACAATAGTGATACCTGTTCCCACAATTAAGAAGGCCTCTTGGTGACAAATCAAAGACATCACATTGGAAGAAACTTACAAATTCTTCATAAGGAAATAGCATCTGAGACAATATGATAGTAGATCATAGTCAGAGTTTTCCGTTCACAATTCAAGAGCCCCAAGAAATAATTTAACTCAAAGCAGAAGGGATACAATAGATAAAAATCATAGATAAATGTAATAGAAACTGACCCTTATTTTCTTACGTCTATTGCCACGAAGTGCAGGAAAATCCTGCTGGGCAAGTTTTGATGACTTGCTTAAACCCATCATTTCCATAATTCCCATGCTAGCAGCCCCATTGATTCCTGGTGGCGGTATGGCACCTGTCATTCCAGAAACTTCTGCACAAAAATTGTAGAATATGAAAAACTACAAAAAGCACAGCTTAAATATCAAGAAATGTAGAAAATTTACTTAATTCATCTGGAATTTGTCCCTTCCTCTCCATTTCAGGGCACAATTGTTCTCCAGACACATTCACTACTGATTTAGGTGATTTAGAGATTTTGGGTCCCGGGGATTGCAATGAACATCTAGCTTTTGTCCATTCCTTTGCTGCTGTCATCCCAGAACAGTCTGACTCTACTGAGTCACCAATAAAAGCATTTTCTGCATGGACTAAATTCTCTGAACTCAGGACAAAAGCAGTTTCAGCTTCATGTGCACTTGTCCCACCTTTAGCAGAATATGGTGGGCCAGAAAATTCATAGTTGCTTTTTGGTTCAGACATGTTGCCACATTGGCTTTGATGCTTATGACTCTCATGCATTACAGTACTTGCATTGTGCCCATGAATATGCATGTTGGCATTTTTCTGTTTTAAGATTCCTTCTTCTGATACAACAAAGCCACTAGTTCTTGACTGCAGCAATAGTTCAATGTAATTATCAGAAACTACATGATTAAATAAAAGTTAATGCATTCTACATAAACAAATTTAAAGATAAGAACCTTATGCCTTATAAAAGCCTCCTTGGAAGAAATATTATTAGGTGTTGAACTAGTGGCTCTAGTCCTCGAGGTTTCCTCACAAGAATCAAATATAGCTGTATCCTCTCTTCTTAGCATTTCTCTGTAGGATCTATGAGAAATTTTCTTGCCTGTACTTCTTCTCTCTTGTGCACAGACTTGAGAGGTATCAACTGTAGAACATTCCCCATTAGCAAATACACCAGTGGTTAACGGACAATGATTTATATTATCTAAAGGTACTTTTTCCATGCCAGCCTGCTTATTAATGTGCCCAAAGAACCGAGAATTCATGCTGTCACTAAGTAGCGCAGATTCTTCAAATGTGGCAACACTATGAGATGAGCTTGAGCTTGCACTCTCCAACTGCATGCATTCTTGCTTATGAACTTGCCTCCAATGAATAACCTGGCACCTCCCAGAACTGCATAAAACTCATCAGTTTTAGAGAAAGAAATATCATGTGGGAAGTGATGAAATGCAGGTCAGGTTGAAATTTATGGAAAAAGAGAGATCAAATCAATGTGAACTTGCAGAATCCAGCAAGTAGACCATATAATGTGTTAGAAAGTTTCAAGGAGGCACCATAGTGAAGTGGAAAAGGTGAGGGAGAAGATTAGATAACCATTTTACATGAAACGAGAAACAAGGAAGATTACGGGTACATTTGGTTTATAAATTTACTCTTTCTATTGCAAACGTTATCCATTAATGAATTGTGACATAGAGTCAGGCGCAAAAGATTTCAAACGGATGGTGATTCCTACCACCAATAAATTTTCATTGCTGATCTCTTGCACCTCCTAAAGTCTATAGTACATGTTTTTCCTGTCATAATCAATAAATGTATTTTAATGTAAAGAAATTTAGAAGTTCAGTAATTTCAAAAATTACTCAAGATGATGTAGCAGGAACATAATATTTTGCCACAGCCAGTTTGTTTTTGGCTGTAGTACTAATATACCATTCAGCCATTCTTTTTAGTTATTAATTTAGTATATTTCCAGAATATTAATTAACTATACTTCAGAGTAATTTAAGCTTGAAAATTAAATTAATTAACTCTTATGTTAGAAAGGCTGTGGTAATTTCTCTATACATACAAAAGCCTATTCGTACAGAGATTGCAACATAACATATGACAACTCTTCTATGTAAACTTATAAACATACTAATTATGAAGTCTCCTATGGTACTATGTTAATATTCATTTTGTCAACACTTCAATGTCACCGCCCCCAACTCTTCCCTCCCATCTTTTCCCCAAATCTCCACCTACCCTGATAGACGAAGAGTGTGGAGGGAGAGGAGCCAAAAGAATGGTAAAATACATCCTCTTCTGTGGGCCATTGGGTTTCAACAACTTATTGAGACTAAAAAGTGACCAATTCAAAGACAAAGACCAACTCAGAACCTCCAAGACTGGCGTTGAGAAGATAAGATTATTTTTATGCATAATGACAGCCTTACACAAAATGCAAGGAAATGAAACCTTATTGACTAAACTAAAATGTGGAACACTAGTAATAGGCAAGGTAATTAAGCCAAAAAGACAGAATGTGAAGGAAGAGCAGAAAACCTAGCAAGTCTCCAGAGAAAGCCTGAATGTAAAGTTTACAAAAGTTAGAATGAATGAGGGGATGAAAAGAAATTAAAAAGAAATTTCAGGCAAAATTTCAACAATCAAATCAATAATAAATAAATCAGCCCATGGCTAGGGTCTATGGCAGCATCAGACATGAAGCATGAAAGACTACCCAAGAATATTATAGACTATACTCCAGGATATAAATGACTGATGAATTATTCAAAATTCATTTAAGACAGGCAGCCACGAGAAGAGGCATATGTATGTCTGCAAAGTGATAATAAACAAGAGATATTTTATCATTTATAAAACTCTAGCCTAGCTGTGGACTTTTATTCCAAAATGTTGCTATCCAGCATTTAATTCTATATTTTACTTCCTTGAATAAGAAGAGCATTCAACAACAATGAAGTATAGTAATAAAGAAAATACATTGGAGCTGCTAAGGGGTGGAATATACCAATATCTGACAGCCTTGCAGCTGGAGCAGCGAGTTGTTGCTGGAGCAAAGCACTTGGCACACATATGTAACCCATTCTTTGAAGAAGGAACAAGTGGAATAGCACTGGCAGCAGCCATTGTTTCTGCTTTAAGAGCTTCTTCAGCAGCAAGCTGAGCAAGTAAACTTATCCTCTCTCGTTTCTTTGAAGCCTCACTCCATTTCCCAAGTAAGAAGTAAGCAACCAGAGGAAACACCACCAAGACCAGAAACAATACAGGTATATCAGCTTCCCTTGGCTCAAGCATGTCCCCACAAGCATTCTCATGTCCAATTTGAGCCCAAATTCACTATCCAGAAGATATTCTTCAGAAGCTACATAAGTCCAATGAAATCAACACCCACAACGGCAACTTAAATTACAACACGAAAATTATGCTGCCACTTAACCCTGTCAAAATTACTTGACTTATTAGGTCACACATAAGATTGCTATATAAAATATTGCACTATCAATAGATGCACTTAAGCATAAAGAGAGTTCCTTGACATTCTACTTGGTATGTTTTGCAGCAACAACTTGCATCAAAACTCTAAAGCAGATTACTTCTTTCCAGATTAGAAGTATAATACAATAAAAAGTGCAACCCAACCTTTGCAAGTTCTTTCAAAATGATGGAGATGGGGCCGTTCATGTGGCTGGCAGTGAAAAAAACTACCCAAGCCCATGAATAAAAATGAATGAAGAACTTTATATGACAACTCAGAGACAGAAATTCCCAAGCTTAGATATCAGTAAAGCCAGTTCAGTTCATAGCCACATATCCGACAGCAACAAGTTCTCAAGATGGAAAATATGGCATGCAATTTACAATCCGCATTGAATCCCTCCTGTTCACAGTGCAATCAAACCCAGCTACAACACTGGGAAAGGAAGGATTAGAGAGGAGGCAGTTGGTCCTTAGAGTATGACTCAAGTTGAGGCAAACCTTTTCTTACTTTATACATAAACCTACCAAAGCAAAGACAATAAAACTTAAGGCCACCACAAATATATATCAATTTCAGAATTAAATTGGCAGGAAGACTGGCAAGATTTCTTGTTTGAGCTGTCAACGAACATAAGGATTCACAGCCATCAAAATCAGATTTCTCTTCCATAAGATGCCACTGAGGAACTTTACTCTAACTTGACACTGCTGCAATGGTCTCTCATTTACAGGTTCACAGAAATTGCTCACCACCACTAAATGATAGAAACTGAAGCATGTTTGATTCAGCCAAATTTAGTTTGCTGGTTATGAGTCTACAACTATATCAAAATAAGTCAAACTCATCTCCCTTCTTTCTAAATGTTATTTCTCTACTGATTTATAAATTTATATATGTACAGTTGTGATTGTAAGACAATATGTTATTAATTGAAGAACCTAAACACCTTAAATTAGTTTACTTCCCAACTTCTCCAGAAAACTTCTCCAGAAAAGGCTCAATCATTTATCAGTATCTGAATTTTGCAGAAGATTCATGGCTACATAAGCAGTTTTGCTAGTGTAATGGCATGAGCTGCTAAAATTTCAATACTTTGCTTCCAGAGAGAGCAACAAAAAGAAGGGAATGAGGCATTGTGGCAGGAGGATTAACCATCTTTACAATATCTTGTGAGGGTCTTGGAATGAAATTTGAAAGTTTTTGTTAACACAAAACGACCAATTAATTAGTTTACCATCATTATTCGACTATTTCCCCCCTTGGAAAGACGTCTAGCTGAACAATCTCACTTCCCCAATGCACCAAACATTCCAATTCCAAATATAGTTACTTTTATCAGGCACAACAAGCTAAATCTTAAAAAAAAAAAAAACAAAGCAATTGCTCTGCTCCAAAGCACCAGCATTTCAGCTAGAGTTACTCGAATGAAGCAAACAAGATAGAATACAATTTAAAAGAATACATACCCAAGAGCATAGAACTAAAATTTTTCCTACTAGAAAATACCCATTAGTATAACAAAAAAAAAAAAACATTTCTAAGCACTAGTTCCATTTTCAGGTCCTTATCTACACTATACCCAAAATGACCAACAAAAAACACCGACTAAATCCAGCATTTTCTAGGACAAAGCTAGAACAAAAAGTACAGACCAACAAATAAATCTTCTGCCAAAAAAAACCCAACTTTTGTTCAACAAAACAGCAAACTTAAATGAAACAAAGCACTTCTACAATCTCAGATTCAAAAACCCAAAAAGCAAAATGAACACTAAAGAAAGTACAACTTAATGAAATGATAGTCAAAGTTGAGTATAGCTTGAATCTTTCATACCTGTCACTCATGCAAGCTGATGAAGAAATCTGAAGCAAAAAAAAAAAACCCCAACAAACAGTACTTATTTTCTTTCTTCTTAACTTATTTTTCTACTTCAAAAAGATTCTTTGATTACGCATATGGTAAGACTAAGGACAACAGTTTTTCTCTCTCTTACAGTGCAACTTGTTTGCCTTCACACTTCTTTACACTTTCGAAGATTTTGGCAAATTTTTTTGTCTGGTCTGCTCAGACACAAAGCAATGTACTTTTGGTCACTTTATACACATGGCACATGGTAATTTGCTATCAAAGGGACAGAGTGTTGGGGTCCACTCTTTGTACTGTTTATAGGATATAGCCAAATTATAAGATTTGTTTTCAACCGTTGGATTTGTTGAATATGGAGTTTTGGACTGTAATTGCCTTGTGTTCTTTTTTTTTTTCTTTTTTTTTCTATCTCTGCTCATTTTGTCGTGTTAAAATATCAGTAGCAGATAAAATAAAACAAAATAACAAGAAGTTTAATCCTTTAAAGAATAATATTTTCTTTTCCACGCTGGAGATTGAAAATTTTTACCCCAATTCTTTGAATAAAAATATATATCAATTATTAAATCAAATAATCTAATCATATTCTTTTGTAAATTAGTAAAAAAATTATCTAATAAATTAACTATATTGATAAATTGTAATTTTTAAGGTGATTTTGAATAGAATTTGTTAAAATATAAACAGTCATTGTTCAATTATTCAAAAAAATAAATATAAAAATATTTTTTAATACTTTTATATCATTTATAATTTATAACTTGTTATTATACAATTATATCATCAATAAAATAAAACTTTTTAATACTAGATAGGTTTATTTTTTCTCTTATATTACAATTTTTTATATAAAAATATGAGATATATTCAGAAAAAATTAATATATTATTTTTTAATTTGATAAAAAATAAATTAGACACAAAAATATTTTTTAAAATAATACAATTATTTTTAATCAGTGCTTATAAGACCAAATAATTTATTACTATCAATTTCGAAAATTTTAATTAGAAAGACAAAGTAACGAGTAAAATAAATAAATCATTACTAAAATTTTAAAAGAATTTACTTTTCCTTTTGCCTTGAAAGTGGGACCCAAATATAGGGTGTTCTTCCCAAGGATTTAGTATTGAACACGTGTAGGGATGGGATCAAATGTGGAGGATAATTGTCGGGAGGAGCATGACAGGAATTTCAAAAAGCGTTGTTTTTTGGGTTAATTAATAAAAATAAAAGTTATTGTACAATCATCTTGAATTGTGACTGACGTCTGCCATTACAGGGTTAGTAGTAAGGAATACCTTTCAACCGGAAATTTCTTTTTTAATAAAATATTAAGAAATTTATATTATATTTTATTCAAAATTATATATAATAACGTACAAATATAAAATATTTTTTTTATTAAATTTATATATAAATTTTATTAAATTATAAAATCGTATTCTCTATCTACTTTAATATAATTTTGATGTCGTGTTTACAGATATAGGAAAAGAACAAAAATGACAACGAGGTGGGGACAAATTTTTATTTGATCGAACATGGATCTAATTTCTTAATATTTATATTTAAATTTTATCGAATCTAATATTAAAGTATTATTTTTTATATTCAATTTAATTTATATATTAATTATTCGAATTTAAAATTAATTTAATAATTTTAATTTAATATAATATTTATAAAATATATATTAATTATATATAATCTTTTAGTAAATTAATATTTTAAAATTTAAATATTAAAAAATAATTTTATTAATATAATATATATCACCTAGAATTAAACTATAATACAAAACCGATTTTAAAGAAAATATCCAACCCCACTTTTGATTTTTAAAAAATTAAACTTTATCAAATCAAAACCAAAACGAATCAAAACTCGTGCAATACGATTATTTTCGCATCCCTCGATATAAAGCCATCCATTTGGGGATTTTGTGAGTGACAAGTGCTTTCTATGATTTGCCATTCACTCCACCCCATGCTTGTTGAGTTACTTTTTCCTGAAGTAGACAGGTTAGCTCACTTTTTTCCTCGGAATATTTGATGTAAATCATGTCATGCCCAAAAGTGCTTCTAACAGCATTGTTAAATGCTTGGTGCACGAGAATGAAGAATGTAACAAAGTACGTACAATCATGAGCCAAATAAAATTTATGAGCGTCAATTTCAAATACCAATAATCTCAAATAAAAAAAAATGAAATCGATTTTGACGCTACTATTTAAAAAAAAACATAACAATTTGCATCAAGAGTGGTTTAGAGGAGCAAAGCAAACGATAAAGACACAAGTGGCTAAATGAGGATCCAAATAAGTTAAGAAGGCAAAGGATGCAACCAAGATATATATTAAATAACATTTGCACAAAGCAAGAAAAAAGAAGCATCCCTAATGCTTATACTCCAACTCCATCAATTTATTGCTAACCACTTCATTTTCTGCAACAAAGAATTTTTATTTTATAAAATCTTCATTGTTACTTTCTTTTAAACAATCTTATTATTAATAATAAAGTTATTTTTGGTGTTTTAAATTTCATAAATGGATGTGGACAGTGTTGAAAAAAAAATACCCACACGCAACAACCAATAACAAGCTCAAATCAAGAATAAGAACACACAAATATATTTGATTCGATCTAATTCAAAATGGTCTACTCTAAATTTAATTTATTATCAAATAAATCTTTACGATTGTGAGACTTTTAGAATAAGAAAAGTCTACTAAAACTCCTTACTCAAAACTTAACCCAAAACCCAATTACCCTACTCACTTAGCTATTCTCTTGGTGTCTAACTCTCTGGAGTTACCAAACTAAAACCAAAACATCTTATTTATAAGATGAAATCTCTTATACATTTACTAAACTCCCGATATGGGATACAAAATAAACTCAAACTCACTTAACTTTCGATGTCGAATTCTGAGATTGAAGGCAAATCCCAACAAATCCTCCCTTGACTTGAATCTCCAAACACTTCAACAGTATCTGCAAAGCTAACACGCTTACCTTTCTTCTTTTCTTTCATTACAGGCATCTCAGCAATTAAGCCTCCATCAAACATGTACAAATGATTATTGACCCTATTCCCTTGTAGAATCACACTACCATTCTTGTACACTTTTAACCAATCATTTACTACCATAATATGTGTACCTTCAAAAAGCTAACTCACCCAAAGCAATCAAATTATAGTGATAATTTGGTACATACCTTACATGACGAAGTGTCCTAATAACACCATTGTGAGATCTAAGAAGAACACTCCCAATGCCTTGAATCTACACCTTTTCTTTGTTAGCAACCATAATATTTTCATACTTTTCATTCTCATCCAACTCCACAAAGCAATTCCTATCATTGCAAACATGAACTGTAGCAGCTGAATCTAAAACCCAACCTTTATCACTTTTCAAAGTCTGAGTTTCATCAACACAAGTTGTCAAAACAACATCATCATTATCAGACACGATAGCAGCAGTATCACTCTTTTCATCATATGATTTCTTCTCATCATTCGCCCTTTTGAAAGCAGTCATATCCCTTCTCAGCTTCTTACAGCACACTTGGATATGTCCTTTCTCACCACAATAATAACATTCTACATCACTGTAATCTCTGTCTCTTGACTTGAATCTCTATCTTGATCCATCAATCCTCTTTTGAGTTCTCCCTCAATCAAAATCCTCTACAGCTAGTGTACTCCCCTTAGGTGATGAGCTCTGAGCTCCCATAAACCTTTCATTCTCACGCAACAGGACAGTCACATCATCCAACTTCAAAGTAGATCTACCCATCAATACAGTCTGAACTAAGGTCTATGAGACTTGGGCAAAGATGACAACAAAATTAAAGCTTTCTCTTCATCTTTTAACTCATCAACAGAAATCACTAGCAATCGAGAAATCAATCTATTAAACTCATTCAGGTGATTATGAAGACTCATACCTTCTTCCATCTTCAGATAATACAAATTCATCTTCAAACATAATCTATTAGTCAACGACTTCGAAGCATAAATACCTTCAAGCTTATCCCACAAACTCTTTGGAGTACTCTCAGTCAACACACTATATTTTACCTCTGGAGCTAGCGCCAATCTAATAGTACTAATAGCTTTCTTTTGAATCATATTCCAATTAGCGTCAAACATTCCCTCAGGCTTACTATTTTCTAATGCCTGATCTAATCTTTGTTGTACTAACAGATCTTGAATCGTACTTTACCATAACATAAAATTACTATTTCCATCAAATAACAGAATCTCAAACTTAGGCGTAGGCATACCAGACATAGCTTCTTCAGACATCTTCAAACACTGCTTCACGATCTATTGGGCCCACGAAGCTTAAACCTCGAACCTCGCTCTGATATCACTTGTTGGGGAACACCACAGCTCTGATATCATTTGTTGAGCTAAAAGCCTCAAATCCAATCACACCAACGGAAGTAAAATCAAACAATAAATCAAACACACAAGAGATAATAATTTAATGTGGTTCGATCCAATCAACCTATGTCAACGGATGAGAAATAAGATTCACTAGTTGTAGAGAATTACAAACATACATCAAATCATCAACCTCACTCAATAATCAATACTCATAAGACACTCTTAATCTCCT